ACTGGCGAATCGATAGACATTCTTCTTCTTCTTCTTCTTCTTCTTCTTCTTCTTCTTCTTCTTCTTCTTCTTCTTCTTCTTCTTCGCATTTCAAGCTTATTGCATATCGCATATTAGCTTATTGCGTGCTTTCAACTTAGTGTTCTAAGTGCACTTCCACAATTATTAATTGAGAGCTTTCGATGCCTGTACCATTTTTGCATTAGTATAATTGTGTGGCAGGTCCAATCACACTGCTATGCCCAGGGAAGTCGAGAAATTTTCCAACCCGAAAAATTCCTAGACCGGACTGGGAATTGAACCCAGCCACCTCCAGCATGGTCTTGCTTTGTAGCTGCGCCTTTACCGACTGAGCTAAGGGAGGCCCAGAATCGATCGACAGACAAATCATAAAACTCCATTGATTATTGGCCAAGTTATTAGCATTTAAAGTCTGACCAATTTTCGTTGCATTTCCCTAGATTGCACCATTCCCGAAAGACATAGTCCTACGTCAAAACGTCAAGTGCAATCTGCTTTCAAGTTAGTTCCTAGGAATTATAGATTTAGATTTCATGTGATAGTTTTGAGTAGAATTTCAAGAAAACCCTGAATTGAATTCAAAGTAAATTTTAATCAGAACTCATAGGAATTTCTGAGGAGCAGAAATCCTATGAACTTCAGAGGAAAATTCCATGGACATTCTTAAGATAAGTTCATGAAGATTGTGGAAGAAAATGAATCCGGAGCATAAGTCCTTGGACATTTTTGGCGAATAGTTCGAGGGTGAGGAACATGCTAAAAGGAGGATTACAATTAAGTCTCTAGGAGATTTTCAAAGACATTCGGAAAATAATTCCAGGAATTTTTGAGGAGAAATGCACATGGATTCTTATGAGGCTTTCAATGTGAGCATAATTCCAAGGGAAGGAGTGAAATTCAAAAGGAAATCTGAAATGAGTTCAATGATAATTATGAGAATCTTATCAAAGGGTTTCTTACTGAGAAGAATTTCAAGGTAATTCCGAGGAAAATTCAAAGAAAACTTAATCCAGAGGATAGTTCCAACGAAATTTTGAGGAATATTTGAATGGAATTGCGAGAAGCATTCTAAGTATATTGTGGTGATATGTTTTAGACAGTTCAGAGAAACGTTCCAAGTGAATTTCTAGAATAATTCCATGCGAGTTTCGGAAGAATACAAAGCGAATGCTAAGGAGAACTCCAAGTGAATTTTCATGAGAAATCTCCGTTGAATATGAAATGGATTGTTCTGAGTTCCTCAGAACTAACTACTTGAAAGTTCCCAAAATTTTCCCGAAGTTAATGAAACTGCCTTTGAATTTCTTTTGTAGTTTGAGAAACTAGCCTGATGCTTACAATACTTCTCATCAGATTTTCAAACCTCCCTGAACTTTTTTTCGAACTTCCTAAAGATTCCTTAATGTTTCGAACGATCATCGATCTTCTCTAAAGTTTCAACGATTCCGTAAAGTTCTCGAAACTTCTTTAATGTTTATATCTATTGTTACGGAACTGCTCTGAGGTTCTCTATTCTTTCCTGAAGTTCTCGAAACTTCCCTAAAGATTTTGCTGTTCTCATCAAACTTGCTGTACTGCCCTGAATTTAATTGAACTGTCCTAAAAATGTTTCATCTTCCGTGAACTTCTGGACTTATGTGAAGATCTCAGTAATTTTTTTAACATCTCTAAAATTATCTGAAAATCTGGGATTTTCTTAATATTTCCTGCAAATTTTCTTAAATTAATGGACCTGAACCCCCCTATTTTTATATCTTACGAAACATCTTTGAAATTTTCCCGAATTTTGTTAATGGTCGTTAAACTTCCTGAAGTAATTTACTTGGAATCAAAACGAAATAATTAATATAGTTCTATGATTTTCACTGAAGTTCATGGAACTGCCTTTAACCTCTTCAATAGGCTAGACTTTCCTGATGTTATTAAAACTGCCCAAGAGATTTCTGAATTTCCTTAAAGTTCACTAGACTACCCTGGATTTCTCAGCATTTTTTATAAGAACCCCAATTTTTACTGAAATTAATTTAATTGCCTTGAAGTTTCCACACATTTCTTTAAGTTTTATAAACTTTTTAAACGCTCACAGAACTATGCCTTAAATCACTTATTTTCCCAGAACTTATCAGGTTATCCCTGAAGTTTTCTATGCTTACCTAAAGTTCTCTAAATTTGTTTAATGTTCCGGAAAATTCTATGATATATATTCATAATTCCTTGATGCTTCTCGCAATATCCCATAATTCCACGGAACACCTTGTAAGTCGCTGCAAATTTCCTTAAGTTAATGGGATTGTTCTGAAGATATCCGATCGCCCTCAAACTACTCGGAACTTCGCTGAATATCATGAAATATCCAAATTTCATTGCAGTTCTCTGGAATTTGTAGAAGATATGTTTGCTAAAAGTTTTCGCAATTTTTTTAAGTTCTTCAAATTTACATGATACAACCTGAACCCTTAAAAAACTGCAACATTTTCGCATGGTCATATAGTTTTTATTGCGTTCCAGCGATTCTCTCGGAGCTTTGCAAAAGCTTTCGGGAATGCTCTGAGTATCTCGAAACTTGTTTAAGGTTGCTGTAGTTTCCTTGAAATTATTTAAACTTCCCTTTGATTCTCTCTTGATGTTCTCGGAGTATCTCTTTTTCTTCTTCATCATCATCGCATTTCAAGCTTATTGCGTGCTCTCAACTTAGTGTTTTAGATGCACCTCCACAGTTATTACTTGAGAGCTATATATTGCAAGGGTAAATGACTAATGTTGAGTCAAACTATTTTTTGACGTAGGACTACGTCTGTGATTTCTATATTCGCGTACACTTTATGAAAACCAAAAATGGAACATGTAACAAAATTATGAAAGATTTTGAACGTTAATATCTCAGCTGCCCCTGGACCAATTTCAATAATTTTATCACCAATCGATCAGAAATATTCTGTTGAATTTAAAACTTTATCATTTTTCAAAATGTCACTATTGAAAATTGCACGAATGTGCAACTGTTGCTATGATAATTAAAATTATCACCCATTGCCTGCGAAAAGCGATTTCCCTAACACATATTTCAAAGTTGAATTCCATCTCGTCTCACCAAATGGTGTTTATTCAATCACCGCGTGGTGAGTGGTGGTGTCCTCCAATACACAAAGAAAGGCTACCTGCAAGCAGTGAGCTGCAGGTCACATGAGCATCCATAGAAGGAGGAAGAAGCCACACCGCTATTGGGCCATCTATGTCAACCGCGTCATACTAAAGAGTATAAACAGAGAGAACCCCGCTCATATTTCTATTCTTACACAAAACACAAGCTCTTGCTGCGGTTAACAAATAAGATTTATTATATAAGACCACGTAGTCCTACGTCACCCTTGCGTACAACCTCATAGGGCTGTCCCTTGTAGTTTTACTTTATGAAGAAGGCAAGAACATGTATTTGAGTGGTGCGATATGTGGCGAAAATGGTTTAAAAAAAAACACTGTCTACAGGTGGAAATCGAACCAACACCTCCCAGTACGCTAGACGAGCGCTCTACCAGTATGCTACCGTAGACTTGATGCAACCCTCATCAATCTTACGAAGCATTGATGTGATAAAGACGGGGTACAACTCCCATAGTAAGCGGGATGTGATTCATCATTCTCACATCTCACTCAACCATCACATGTTCTATTGGGTGCCTACCAGTATCGGAGTGAAAGAGAGATTTTTGAAGTTCTCTTGACACCTGTGAAGCTCTCTGAAATTCTAGGAACTTCGGAAAAGTTGCTTTGAGGTTCTTAAAGCTTCCAGCAACTTCCCCATATTTTCAATATGTTTAACCTTCCTTATGTTCCCGCAGTTTGTTTATGAAGCTTCACTGAAATTATCAGCATTTCCATTCATTCGTTTGAACTTCTGCAAAGTTCCTTAAATTGTTGTGAAGTTAATGGAACTTCATTGAAGATCTTCCATAAAGTTAATTACACAGTTGAAATCAATCATCTAAATTTATTTCCTTAATTCTGGCAGTTTGAACATTTTCAATATCCAGAATTTGTACATGGAATACGAAACTTAAATACATTGAATATTTTGAGATCTTAGACTTAATAAAGTAACTACGTAAGTAAGCCTCAACATTTAATGGATTAGATTGTAAATCTGTTTCTTTAAAACTGATTGTAATTGCTGCTGTTATTGTTTTTCGAAAAAATGCATTTTTTAACGCTTTACAAAATTTATCCGTTTAAGTTCCGAAGAAACCTGGAAAACTCAGGGAATTTTATTTAGCCAAATAAGTAGACACCTGTAGATAGAGAAAGACTATTAAAAGTCAAAAAGCTCTATAGAAAGACAACACTTTCGAATTGCTCGAAAATGATAACAAAATGAAGGCATCGATTGGACTATCACATCCTACAAACTGCAAGAAGAATGATCAATCTTGAAATAAATTCACACTAAAATAGTTGCAAATAGTGACTGATAAGAAAAAGTGACTTTAGTGACTTGGCCTTAAAAAAAGAGACTTTTTAGTGACTGGATTGAAAAAAAATGACTCGCTACCGGCCCTGAAAAGGACACCTTGCCAAATCCAAAAATAGCACCTTACAGAGAGAAAAACACAACATTAGTCTCGCTCAGATTTGAAACACCAGCGAATCCGACCGTAGAAACGCGTACCGCCGATAAGATACAATAAAACGGCGACAACGCCGTAAAATACGAATTCATAAGGCGACCGGTGGCGGCGGCAGTTGAAGAACCCCGAAAAGAAAAAAAAAATCATATCGAAACCCGCTCCGGACGGTCGGAATCGAAATGCGATGAGAAAGGTGCTGCAAATGTTAATATATTATCAATTTTATATTCGTGGGAAAATTCTCGCTGCGCGCCATCAGCAGCATATCTCACACCGATTATTATGATGACTTATGGCTGGCTACATCTGTATTAATAGAGTTCCCTTTCCCGGAACGGGAAAGAAGGTCATAATTACTTGTTGCTCTTCATCTTGTTTTCGTCCATTAGCAGCAAATCCACCGTACTGGTCACCAGTTCCGTCCGATGGTCGTTCGAACGTTTGACGTAGATCTGTCCGTTGACGGTGAAGACGTTCTTCAGCTTCCCATTGCGCTTCATCTTCATCGCTTCCTGCTTCAGTCCCAAGTTGGACCGCGTTAAATTTTCATTCAGAAAAATCCGCGAACCACTATCCATACCGATATCGCGCAAACACAGTGCCTTATGGCCCAGATAACGCCGATAGAACTCGTACCGGGCATTCCGGAACACAAACTGCACCACTACGATCGATTCGTTGGGAGTTCGTTGATTGGAGTTCGATTTGACAACGGTAGTTCGAACCTTCAGATTGTCCAACATCGAGTGACTGTAGTGAGGGATCTTCAGTTTGGCAGCTCCACCGGATGGACCACTGCCATTGAGGATTCTTCTGATGTAAACCAACGGGATTTCACAATCGTGGAAACCCAACTTTCTACTGATCTTCACATAATAGTCCCGTAGATTCTCTCCGCGTCGATAGGGTATCCCCATCAGGATCAATTCACAGGTCTTTCCGGACCGTTTCTCGTACTCCTGGCTGACCTGGAACAGCCGATTGGTTTGCTTGATCTTCCGGTTGATGGTGTCGATTTTCTCTTCGATGGCATTCCTCAGATCCGAGACCTCCGAGATCAGCCGATCGAACTTGCAGTCCAGGGTTTTGTTGGTATTGACCCGGTTCAGCTCGTTGCAGCGATCGATTTCCGACACTCGCCGTGTCGAAGCCAGTATGGCCGACATGATCTGGGCGTAGGCATCGTCGTTCTGATCCGAGCTCATGAGCTGATCGTCGTCTTCGTTCAGGGTGTTGTCTTCCAGCAACAGCTGGAGACGTTTGTCTACGACTGCCTGTTGGCTGTTGGTCATTTTAGTTAAAATGCACACGTATCACACTAGTTTCACTTGTTATCAGTCCTGATGTAGTCTACGCGCTGTTGAGAATAATTGTTTCTGAAGACTCCCGCCGAAATGCATTTTCGAAAGGAGTCCAAAAAAAACCTAAAATACAACTGAAACAACTGAGTCAAGCAAAACGAAAACAGATGAATCGGAACAAAAACACACCACCAACTGAAATCCGAACCATTTTCCAACATCTTCCAAAATCACAGGGAAAACAAAAACAAGCCCCCTCACTCCACTCGATCTCCCGAGTACTTCCCAAGGGCAGGTAACTGAAGCCTCCCCAGGCTAACCCAAAATTAAAATGACAATCTGTCGTCAGTATTTGATTTCTTCCTTCAAAAGGGAATCATTTGCTCATTTAGGCAGTACCGGGCGAGAGGGTTATATGAATTTGAAACCAATTTACCCTCCTGCCTCCTCAGGCTCTCCACAGCGAATAGGACAGTGAACAAGTGAAAAATACATTCCGTTTGAAAACAAGCAAATCCAAAAGTGTCCTGATGAAAAGTCGGTGGTTTTTTCGCTCCCACACACACACATACACTCACACACAAAGTCGCAAACAGCCAAACCCAAAACCGTTCCTGCTCGCTCGGCATCCTTCTCCGAATTGTGAAAATGTCCACCGGAAAAGCGGAGTGCGCTTGTCCTCTCCGAGAAAATTCCCGAAAGAAATGGAAAATTCTTTCACACGAAAACTGCCAGCCGTCGGGAATCATGGGGAGAGAGCAAGCAAAACAACATTTCGTTGCATACTCACAAAAATTACACACCCTGCTCTGGAGGGCGACAACAACCACCCACCCACTTTGGGTGGAAAGCTTTGAACAAGCGTCGTCCCTTTGCACAGCCTAGCCCTCTCAATTGGTAGGGGTTAATAAACGGAGAATTATCGATCCTGCTGGATCCCGGTGTGTAGTCAGTGGGCACAGTCCCAAAACAGAATCTCATCACAAGTGCGGCGGCAGCGGACGACGATGACTACGACGACCGAGTCAGCGACGTACACATACAAAGGCTGGCTGGCTGGTCGTCGCAGGTTGTGGTAAGCAGTGACAGTGTTGCCAGGTTTGCTAACTGAAAGTTTGACATGCCTCAGCTTTATTTATACTTTGGACACGCTACTTCTTATTTATACGGTCTAGGGCACATTTTCCCATTTTGTTAAGGCTCTGGATGCGAACCACGTTGAGATGGAAGCAACGAGGAAGCCAAGTGCGAGTGTGCGATCTCTATGGTGACCACCCAATAACAATAATGGTTTTTTAAGGTTCTGTAGACCATGATTAAGACTCGTAGAATGCTATTACATATCTATAACGCCTGTAATGTTCCTTGGGCAGCAAATGCCGATTATGAATTTCCTGTTTTTCCGATTTATTCCCGGACATTTAAACATTTAGGCTTTTTCTTCTTCTTATTCGCTTATTGTTTATCGCTTCTGGCATATCAGCTTATTACGTGCTCTCAACTTAGTGTTCTAGATGCACTTCCACAGTTATTAATTGAGATCTTTCGATGCCTGTACCATTTTTGCATTAGTATAATTGTGTGGCAAGTACAAGCATGCTCTATGCCCAGGGAAGTCGACGAATTTTCCAATCCGAAAAATTCCTAGACCGGACCGGGAATTGAACCCAGCCACTTCCTGCATGGTCTTGCTTTGTAGATGTGCCTTTACCGACTGAGCTAAGGAAGGTCCCGCATCATTAGGTATATTAGGCATAAAATCGAATGCAATTGAGTCAAAGAGATTGCTAGATTAAATTGGTCATAACTAAGATGGCAGAAATTTCCTAGATTCTAATTTTATCTGCATAAGAAATTTTCAATTTGTTTTTTAATTTTTGTAATAATTCACTCAGAACTCTTTAAAGAATTTGTTTGGATAGTTCTCAATCATTTCCTGAGAATCATTGCTCTTAGCTCTTTTCAAAATTCCCTTATAATAAACATGCGATTCTCTCTGATATCCTCTATATAATCGTCTTTGTTACAGTACAAACATTCTCTTCAGAACAATACGAAAATTTCTTGGAATTCAGCGAATGTGGAGAGATTCATCGAATGAATTCTCCAAAGAATTCACGGAAGTTTTCTTTCTTGATTATATAGAAAAAATGGCTTAAATTCTCTTTGGAATTCTTATCTAATTTACCTCTGAAATGTCTTGAAATTCAGCTCAGGGTTATCTTGGAGTTCCCATCTGTATTCTTCTAAAAATTGTATCTTGTAATACTCCTTATAATTCCCTATAAATTCTTCTCCGAATGTCCTTGGCATTCTTCTTGGAATTCACTTTAAACTCTATAGGATCCATTTGGAACTATTCACACCCTGTATTATTTAGGAACTATCCTAAGAATTCAATGGCTTCAAAGTTCTTCCTGAAATTTCCTAGGAATTTTTTTGGAATTCTGGAAAACTTCACTGGAATTCGACCTGGGATCTTCATCACAATCGTCTACAGTTTTCCTAAGAGGCATTTCAAAATTCTACTCAGAATTCTTCTCACTTTAACTTTGGAATTATTTTCACAATCGCCTTCGAGATCTAGTTACAATGCTCTTTTATTTTTTTTTCAGATTTATCATCGAAATTAACGGTATTTTCCCGGTGATGTTGAATTCCCTTTCCCGGTTTTCCAGATTTTCCGGTTCCTGGTCCTCCTGGATCGAGAGGGATCGAATCGAGATCTAGCTTTGGTGCTGGGGAGTTTCAAAAGGTAAAGCATGTCATCTGTGAGACAGCTTCACCGGAACTGGGTTTAGGGACGTTCTGATATTTTCTCTCGATATCCGATATTTTGATATCGATATTTTCGGGGCCTCCTTTAGATCAGTCGGTAAATGCAGTAAAACCATGATGGAAGGAGACTGAGTTCGATTCCCGGTCCGGTTTAGGAATTTTTCGGGTTGGAAAAAATCTCGACTTCCCTGGGTATATAGTATGAATGTAACTGCCACAGAAACATTTCATGAACTTCGTAAAAGTCTATGGAACTTAAGGGAAGATCCGAGAACTTCAGAAAATTTCATAAACTTAAGCGAAATGCGGGAGCATTTCTAAGAAGTTTAGTAAGCTCAAAAATAGGGGGAATTTCAGGGGGAGTTTAGTTCCATTAGTTTCAGTAAATTAGCGGGGAATTTTAAGAAGTTCGTAGATTTTCAGAGAACTTCAGAGATGTTTAAAAAAATATTGAGGTCTTCACATAAGTTTAGAAGCTCACGGAAGTTTAAACATTTTTAGGACAGTTCAATGTTGCATCAATCTTTACACCTAAAGAAGGAATAGTTCATGAATGGAGTACATCAGTAATTCAGGGTAGTGCAACAAGCTTCATGGGAACTGCAAATATTTAAGAGAAGTTTCGAGAACTCCAGGAAAGAAAAGAGAAGCTCAGAGCAGTTAAAATTAGAGAAATTACATAAATTTTAAAGAAATTTCGCAAACTTCAGCGAAAAACTTAAGAGAAGATCCATGATCGTTAGGAAAATGGAGAAAACTTTAGGGAGTCCAAAAAAGTTCAGGGGAGTTTAAAATGTTTATTTAATTTCAAAAGAGCTCCAAGGCAGTTTCAGGAAAATTTAGGGAACTTTCAAGTAGTTCTGAAGTTCACAGAATAGTCCATTCCATATTCAATGAAGATTTCTCATGAAAATTCACTTAGAGTTCTCCTCAGCATTCACTTTGTATTCTCCCGAAATTATGATGGAATTATTCTAGAAATTCACTTGGAACGCTTCCTGAATTCTCTTGATAATATAACCAGAATGTACTTAGAATATTTCTCGCAGTTCCATTGAAAAATTCTTCAAAATTTTCTTTGGAACTATCTCTAACTATCTAACTATCTAACTAAACTATATACATTTTATTTTCAATTTTCCTCGGAATTACCTTGTAATTCTTCTCAGTAAGAAACCCTTTGGAAAAATTCTCAGAAATATTTATTGAATTCATTTCAGATTTCCTTTTAAATCTCACATTGAAAGTTTTCTAAAGAACCATGTGTATTTCTCCTCATAATTTGTTTGGTAAACTCTCCTACAATTATTTTACGAATTACGAAAAGTTATTCTCGAATTCAATTGTAATCCTTCTTTTAGCATCCCTTATGTATTCTCCAAAATTATCTAACGACTTATGCTCCGGATGCGTTTTCTCCCACAAACTTCATGAAATTATCCTCAGAATGCCCGAGAAATATAATCTCTAAAGTTCGCAGAAGTTCTGCTCCTCAGAAATTCCTATGACTTCGAAAATATTGGGAACTTTCAAGTAGTTAGTTCTGAAGACCTCCGAATAGTCCATTCCATATTCAACGGAGATTTCTCATGAAAATTCACTTGGGGTTGTCCTTAGCATTCGCTTTGTATTCTCCCAGATTCTCCATGAGAGTGAATTATTCTAAAAATTTACTTGGAACGGCATTACCATGATGAAAAATCTCAGATATTATTGTAATCCTCCTTTTAGCATGCCCCTAACTTCTAAAGTATTCTTATATAAAGTAGACTTATGCTCCGAATTCGTTTTCCCTCGCAAAATTCATGAAATTGTCCTCAGAATTCCCTTGGAATTTGCCTCTGAGCTTTCATTAGCATTTACTTTGAATTCTTGGGTTTTCTTGAAATTCTTGGACTCTCTTGGCTTTTGACCTTGGATAAACTTTATTTTAAGAGAGTTTAGATGAAAATTGTAATAATTTTGAGGATATTGTGAAGGAAATTGATAGGAAGTTTTGGAAGGAATCCACTGTGCTTAAATTCGTAGATAATTCTGAAAAGTATTCCATGAACTCTGCGAGGAGAACTTCAGGTGAAATCTATAGTGAATTCTAAGGAAGTTATGTCTAGAATTATATGACAATTCTGAAGAGAATTTTAACGACCTTAGAGGAGAATTTCGAAGCAATGTTAGCGACACAATTCCAAGAAAATTTGGACAATAACCCCACACAAATGCTGAGATGA